TTAGCGTCTCTTTGGGAGATGTACCGGTTCGGCAGCGACGAATGTAAAAATACTTCCAAAACGTTATGAAATTTTTTCTATAACATAGATGTATGCTTCAATGTTAATTCTTCCAATCTCGTGATTTATCGAGTTCGATTTTAATTATTACAATTAAATTTACACGATATGTACCTAATTTTCATAAAGAATGAAAATTTTGTGAAATATAGTAAATAAATCGAAATAAACACCATATTTTGGAATGGAGTACTAAATATCATATGTGGATAGAGGAAAAAGAATGAAGGAAAAAACAAGAAATTTGGTTGAATTTTACCGAGTGTTGCGCCAATACACTCGGTAAAATATAGTGTTTACCGAGTGTTGTGCACTGACACTCGGTAAACATTTTCCCAGCGCTTGATGGGCGGAGCTGTTGTTACCGTGATGTTTGCCGAGTGTATGCTCATAACACTCGGTAAACATGTCATGCCGTGACGTCGTTGGGCGCACGGTTGCTATCCTAGGTGACGTGGCACCTCAATACCGAGTGGCTGTTTTTACCGAGTGCACCCCTTCGGTAAACTTGTAGTTTTACCGAGGGTCTGAAGTTACCGAGTGTGCTGACTCGGTAAAGCGGTCGACTACCGGGTGTTTATGTTTTCCGAGTGCCCCGACTTTTGACACTCGGTAATTATCGGGGCACTCGGTAACTACACAGTCTCCGTTAGTGCGTTGTCGTAGCTGATCATGGCCGCCTTGGTGAAGGGGGATGTGAGGTTGTTCATCCCTGGAGTGTTCGTGCTCGCCACAGACACGATGGAGTTGACATCGATGCCGATGTGCTGGGTGGTAGTGTTGTCGATTCCCACATTACAGAATGTGTCGAACTCGACGGCAACAACCCGATTGTCACCCGTTGCGTTGAAATGGTTGCTGGGGTTGAAAATGTAGAGGTCGCCGCCTTCCGTTGCGGTTGCGTTGGGCAGGACGATGCCCCCGCCGGAGCTCGAGTTAGAGTTAGGCCAAGGCGCAAGGAAGAAGGCCATGCCGTCGCCCGTCTGAGATGCCCATGTGTCCATGCACCGGTTGGAGTCGGACGGCGTGAGGTTGAAGGAGAAAGTGGTGGTGAAGCTCGCTACCTCGCCGGTGCTCTCTTTCCATAGCGGCACGGGCTGCTTGTACCACACCCGACCTTGGCTGTACGTGATTTCTCCTCGGAGGTCCTTTGTCAACTCGATGGCTGATGTGGTCTTGTCGAAATGCGCATCGCGGTAGCACATGAGCTTCAGTCCGCCGCAGGGGTCGTCACCAGTAGTGTTGGAAAAGTTGAAGTCGAATGAAACCGATGACGACGAAGGAACGTGCATGCATAGCACCAAGAAAGAGTAGTTGAGGCAGATGAAAGCGAGAGAATATGAGGGGGCTGATGCGCTCGCGCAAGCCATCGTTGGAGCTTGGCAAGAAAATAATGCTTCTCATATATATATATATAAGCCATCGTATGTAAGCACACCAGTGGTTCTCGTTGCTGTCATATATCTTATGAGCGATGAGGGGGGACGTCAGTGTCGTACTGCCGGACCGCCTTGGGAGTTGGGACGGCTGCATGGGTCCGTCCATTCAGGTCGGGCGGCCAGAAAATACAAGATCAGCGCCGGCTGCTGCATGCTTCGATGGCTTTGGTTCGTCTGGACAGCAGCCTGGGATCCTTGTGTTCGCTCTGATATATACAGCCCGTCTGAGATGCCCATGTGTCCTATACAGTGTTTATCTTGTGCGTGAGACGAATAAGCCAGCTAATTGATACAGAGAGGCAAAGTCAAGCTGGTCGGCGTTGGGGGCGTGTTATGCATCGGACGCGAGCAAAGCGTTGGCAATTTTTTTTCTCTATATATACATCAGTGGGCTAGATTTTAAAGTTGGGCCACTTTCTCAGGGCAACCATAGTATGCTCCAAAAGCCGTCCATAGGGACTATATTATTCCTTACAGACTATATGAACAATAGAGCAGTCCACAACAAAAGTCGTCCATAAGCCTACGGACCCCATCTACAACTAAAATATTGATAAGAGTATCGGGCATGCAAAAAATCGCTCGCGTCTGTGCTTGCCCGGCGCGCCTTCGCTAGCTCACGCCTACAGTGGACCCGGCGTCGTGCGAGCGATCATCGAGAGAAATGAAACGTCGTTCTCTTCTCCGCTCGATAGACAGAAGCGGCACGCCTCTCAGCTTCCGCCGCCGCCACCTTGGTCCCTGTGTCGGCGAGCTCCCCAGCTCCGACGGCCACCTCCGGTTCGCCGGCGATGGCCGGATTTGGTGGATCCGGTTCCCCTTTACCTCTCCCACACCTTCTTCCTTATCCATGGGAAAAGTTCTTCCTAGGTTGGATTAACCCAGCAGCATTTGACGGCGGCACAAGGCGAGGCCACCGCAGTAGTAAGGGAAATGGCGGCGGTGCTCGTCCGCGGCCTCCGGGGGCGACTTGTGGGCGCTGGTTGATGCTGCGCTGGACGCGGCCACGTGGGACTGCGCCGACGGCATCGTTGAGTGCCTCTACGCCGCCGTCGGCGGCTATAGCAACTGCGCCGAGCGTCCTCCGCCTGTTGCTGCTTTAGCGTCGGGGGGCTGGATGAGGAGGATGGAGACGAGGCGGCTCCGGCTTCTCCAGTGGTGGAGGCGGAGGCGGAGGCGGACGCTGATGCACAAGCCGAAGGCGCGGAGGAGCAGGCCGTGCTAACACAATGGGTGGCCCAATCGGTTTGCTTGCTTGTTTCATATGAGCAGCAGCAACTGCCATGGGAAGGGTAAGGTTTTGAAGCTTATGTTCATGTTCGTGCAGGAGATTGACATCGGGCGTCAGATGAATGGTCTGCGCAAGCACTCTTCTGACGAGGTCAGGCGACTGGTGAAGCAGCTCATCAGATGATGAACATGGACACGAACACTGTTAAACTGGAGAGATGATTTTCTGTTTCGAATATATGCTGCCTAATTATCCTCTTTTGTGGAACCTAGTATTGCTTGCAACTTGAAGTAGCAGATAACAGATTGTGCGATGAAAGTAGCTATTATCTATGGTGACACATCTGTATTTTATTAGAGCCTTGTATGTTTACCTTTTCTTTATTGATTGTAGATTATATGTAACAAAGACACCTTCATTGTTCGAGCCTTACAGGTTTCGGTGTTTCAGTATTCTCCCAGCCCACAGAGGCATCGTGAGTGCGACATATCATCTTTTAAATGCAGTAAAAATGTACTTATGGAGGTACACTTTTTGTTTCTATTACTTTAGATGGTTCAGCTTCAGAGAGGGCTAACAATGGTTTTGAGTCAACAATGTATGCAAAGCGTAGGACCAGCTGATGTTAGGAGAATTTGGTACTCTTTGGATAAAATGTTACTGCTTTGAGAACATTTTACACTGGAAACTTGTAGTACTAGCATAAGCAGAAGCAGAACTATATCAGTAAGGACTCATATTCGAAATTCTGTTGTTTTTGCTAAAGTGATCTCAGCTCACTCATTGTGGCCTGAACAATTAATCTGGCCTGCTCTTGAGGGACAAGAATTGATGCATTTGCTTAATTGTTCTATTTTGTGAATAAATATCAATTAAGTTTGGCATTAATGTGGCCCTTAGCATTAGCACGGTTAAATATACTATGTAAATTTAAAGTGTCGGTTGGAAATATGAACTGATCTTTCATCATGATTTCCATGTGTTCAGGTCGTTGAAGCTGCACTTATTTCTAGAATACAAAGATTGGAGCAGAAAACTGTACACGATGATGTGTTTTTTTACATATAGCTCTTGCTCTTTTTGTAGAAAACTGTACACGATGATGTGTTTTTTTTACTGCATACTCCATTTAAGCATTGTCACTTACATGCTTCTCAATCATTGGCTTCAAACCTTTAAGCTGTTACATCCCCTAATCCCCTGCTTCATTGGGATTTCAATTTAGGCAACTTTCATTATAGTGCACACAGTGGAATTCAAACAGCATTGCTTCCAGTTATTTCCATCTCTTATATGCCTTCCACAAGCCAAACTACAAATTCATAGTCCTTCTGTTTCCTATAACACATTTCCCATCTTAGCTAATCCGAGCTCCTGATCTTCAGATACATCAACCAGTACAAACAATAAGAGATTGTATACTCCCAGTTTTGGCTACTAAACCGATGACGAAGGAACGTGCATGCATAGCACCAAGAAAGAGTAGTTGAGGCAGATGAAAGCGAGAGAATATGAGGGGGCTGATGCGCTCGCGCAAGCCATCGTTGGAGCCTGGCAAGAAAACAATGCTTCTCATATATATATATAAGCCATCGTATGTAAGCACACCAGTGGTACTGCCGGGCGTCATCTTATGAGCGATGAGGGGGGACGTCAGTGTCGTACTGCCGGGCCGCCTTGGGAGTTGGGACGGCTGCATGGGTCCGTCCATGCAGGTCGGGCGGCCAGAAAATACAAGATCAGCGCCGGCTGCTGCATGCTTCGATGGCTTTGGTTCGTCCGGACAGCTGCATGCCTGGGATCCTTGTGTTCGTTCGCTCTGATATATACAGCCCGTCTGAGATGCCCATGTGTCCTATACAGTGTTTATCTTGTGCGTGAGACAAATAAGCCAGCTAATTGATACAGAGAGGCAAAGTCAAGCTGGTCGGGGTTGGGGGCGTGTTATGCATCGGACGCGAGCAAAGCCTTGGCAATTTTTGTTCTCTATATATACATCAGTGGGCTAGATTTTAAAGTTGGGCCACTTTCTCAGGGCAACCATAGTATGCTCCAAAAGCGACTATATTATTCCTTACAGACTATATGAACAATAGAGCAGTCCACAACAAAAGTCATCCATAAGCCTACGGACCCCATAAGCAATAAAAAAAAAATTTCTCTCCGTCTCGGTACTTCTTGTTGCCGCTCCCGCCGGTTGCCTATGCCGCCCCCGAGGATGCTGTCCTGGCCTTCCGTACGTGTCGCCGGCCAGGGCGTCGCGCCAAGCCATGCGCGCCACCCTTGAGGCTGCCGCTGCGGCCATCCACGCCGCCCGCGAGGCCACCTGCACAGCCATCTGCGCCACCCGCGAGGCCATCTGCACCACCCACGAGGCCGCCGCAGCCATCCGCACCACTCACGCCACCGCCATAGCCATCCGCCCGTGAGGACGCCGCAAAAGCAATCCGCGCTTTCCACGAGGACACCGCCACAAGCACCCGCGCTGCACGCCACCATCTGCACGCCGAGCATGAGCAGGAAGAAGCTAGAATCTGATTCGTGAAGACGAGGCAGATTTGAGATGGCAGAAGTTCGATCTCGACGGAGAAGGAACAAGCGGAGGCGGTAGCAACAAACGGCGGTGGTAGGAACAAGCATTGGCAGCGGCATGGCAGGAGAACAAGAGTCGCCGAGCGGACTCGCAACTAAATCTGGGAATGGATCGTGTAAACCCAAAGGCCGAAAGGGCCCCCAAACTCACGGGCCTAATTTTACGGATTGCATATGGGCCATGTAAACAAAAGATCGAGTTGGATTGGATTGGCTTGTAAAAAGGCTGGGCCGTAGATACGGCCCGAGTCGTCGCACGGATCGCCTGAACAGGGTCGGCCCGAGGATCTGAAAACGGATTTTGCCTTTGGCGTCTCCCTCGCAGAGTCGCAGTCAAGGGGCGGCCGAGTGGGGCGGGTCTTGGGAGCTGAGGGGCGGCGGCGGCGCAGGTTGAGGAAGAGGAGGTGGCGGCGGCGGCGGCGGCAGCAGCAGCGATTCGGTGTCCGAGATCCTTCCATCAGCGGCATCGCTTCTCCATCCGTCGCCATCGCTTCCTCAGGGCGGCGGTAGCAGCGATTCCTCAGGCCCCATCGCTTCTTCATCCGTCGGCAAGATCCGTCGGCAAGCGCGCAGGACGCCTCTCCGCTGCCAAGTCCACAAGGTAACAACTAATCCATCCCTCTGTCTATCTACTTGCAGTTTAGTCTTTGCTGTAGATCGAGTAAGGGCATTGGGTAGATTGTACCAAGAACCTAGCTGAGCGCAGCGCAAAAGAAAACGAAGAGATGGGAGATATTTCCGGTCCGCCTAAAAAAAGGGAGCTGGGGTGAACGGTGATGACCTCAAACGAAACGATCTGTGTGAGGCCCCGCCCCGGTTCGGCAGGGGCCGGCGCTCCTCTACCACCTAGCCTAAGCTGCCGGCCGTTTCGTGGTTGCTGCTTTGGAGCTGGGGTGAACGGTGAACCCACCTCTAGAGTGGATTAACTATATTCAGATTTTGTGATTGCTGCTTTGGATCCTTTTTCTGCCATATACTTGGTGTCATATAGCAGTGTCTGTTTGAGATTATTCATATTTAGTGTGTTTTCATCAAGCAGGTACCCACCTCCGCTTCCTTCAATGTATTAAGCAGCCAACTGGTAGTGTCCTTTGGAGCTGGGCTAGAGCACAACTGTGAGAAACCTTGTGTTGGCGATTTGACGTCCTCCGTTATCCTTAGTTGAAGGAAGAACTTCAACCAGGTATTAAGTTTCCTACTAAGTTTGTTCGTTGGTTTTGCTTGTTCATCAGTGTGTGTTGATCTTTAGTAAGGAGCAAGTAAATTCTGTTCTGTGGCTTCTCTTCATGTGGATAAGAGGTGATGAACTGATAATAACTGGTGTTTTGTTAGAAATTGTTTTTTTCCGAAGCAACAAGGAAGGCATCACACTAGAGCTTGCCAAATATTGCTTGTTTATCTTGGTTCCTGCAATCCTGCTAGGTTGAAACTTGAAAGCAATAAGGCATGGTTTCCTGGGTCTAACACATGTTAGCTTCTCAGTTGCTGTGTTCTTCTAAATATGATTCATGACTGTTTGAACTTTAGTTAATCATGCTCAATTTGTTGTTGCCTTCTTACTCTGGATGACTGCAAATTACTGCAAGTATACAAAACGAATAGCCAATCATATTGGCTTCTCCAGTAAGTCTGGAATAGCACTTATGAACCCATGTTTACGAGAATCTTTATATTGTCACCCGAATAAAGCAATCACCAATCAAAGTAAGTGATCAAACATTTGTATTTTTAAATGATCGTATCTTAAGAGTATTTTTCTAAGACCATATCTTCTTCCATGTTCATTCAACACTAGACAACCTAAGAGTAGATGCTGAACCTTCAAGTTGCACGAATCCTTCAGCTATTATTCTTTGTTTTGGTAAATGAACTACTACTTTCTGTTTGACAGACATGCGGTGAGGTGATCAGTAATAAGTATTGATTTAAGGGAGATCATTTTGAGCATGTTATGATGGAGCTCTACTCTGGATATCTTGAAGATCATTTCAACCTCCACAAGCTAAGGTGAGCATTTCCTCTGATCAGATTCCCTGTTTCATCTGAATGTTTTTTTTAATTTTTTTGTCCATCTGATGCATAGAAAAACGCCAATGTTCTGATGACTGTCCAATCAGTCAACTGAAGTAGAATGAGACGTGAAGCAAAGAGGAGAGCTAATAGCTTTGGTGCCACTAGCATTAATAGACGAGTAGTAGTGTGATTTGCATTAGATTTCTTTACCTGTGGGTGGCACATCGTGATGTAAACTGAATACTAGATTTTTTTTTAACGGTGCAAGTGGGACTAGTGCATCTAGAGTGAGGCAGGGGAAGGGCTGCCGCCCCCCTGCCTGCTGTGCCTGGTGCTGATCTGAATGAAGAAAGTGGTGAGTGGTGCTGTGCATCACCAGCGTTCACCACTGGCTTGGCTAGCCAACCAGACATTCCCTTTTGTTCTGTCATCACATTTCCTTGTCATCAGCATCACTACGCACACATACTACAACTTGCAATGTTTGGTCTTTTTATGTATATTTTTTCACTGTGCATGCAGGCAAGAGCATGACATACTAGTATTTTCTTCTCTCATGCTTTTCTCCTTTGCAATATGCAAAATCTGCTCGATATGGTTATACAGCATTAGAATCGCATCCCTTTTTTTATTACTTATAATATATATAACCTGGCACTGTTGGCAAAAATCACACGCACACGTGTGGCGCAAACCAATGCACTGCACATATCCCTGCTGCAGCCTGCACTCGTGTTCCAGATAAGTTGGATGGTGGGGTTCAGATGATGAAGGCCGGCGACCACTGCTTTATTTGCAGCAGGGAGGGGTTCCTGTGTGCTGGTTGGAGGCAGCATGAGACCAACCTAACCTGCTGCTTTTGCCGTAAAAAGCCAAGTGGCCTCCCCAATAATTGAGGGGTCATCTTGGATGAACCCTCTTTTGGCCGTGCTGCACACTCTTTTAGTCTTTACCTATTTATTAATCCTTAACAGCTGCCTGTTAAACCTCTACTTTTAGTATCATATCTAATTGATTGTCATTCATTGGTTCAGGAGACTCTAATTGATTAGTCTGAGTGTGATATTATGGAGAGGGTTTCATCAGCAACAGCAGCAGAAGTTGAGGATAGTCTTGATGCTATCTCCACCGATCGGTCGTCAGGCCGGTCGGGGAAAAAAGAGGGCTAAAGTTTGGGCTTATGTTGACTCGGAAATCGTTGATGGAATTGAGAAGGCTGTGTGCAAGTATTGCAAGCTCCAGCTTGTCTTCTCGTGTCGTGGAAAGGACAACTCACTTGAATAGGCATATTGGATATTATTGTCATCATATCCCTCAAGAGGACAGGGACAGATTCTTAGCAACTTTGAAGAACAAGTCTGATAGAGATAATTCATATTTGATCCTGTTGTATTAGAGGTCTGATTGTAAAGTATTTCCTTAGTGCTGAGGTTGCATTTCAAAAGCGATGATCCTGCTTGGAAAGAGATGATAAATTATTGCCAGCCTTCATTCAATGTGGTGGGTCGACAAACTGTTCGTGCGGTCATCTGATCTTGTATGAAGAAGAGAAATTACAGCTACATCAAAAGATTACAAAGTTGAAGTCTCATGTCGGTTTAATCGCTGATTTGTGGTCGTCAAACCAAAATCTGGGGTATCTTGGAGTTACAGCTCATTACATTGATGAAGAGTTTGAGCTCCATAAGAAGATTATTGCATTCAAGCAGATCTCTTTCCCCCATAACTCATTTGCTGTGCAAGATGGCATCACGGCTTGCTTGACGGAGTGGGATTTAGTTGATCGTGTGTTCACAGTGACTCTAGATAATGCAAGCGTGAACAACAGAGCGATTAGAGACTTGCGTGCTGCTCTAGGTGCTCAGATGTTCTTTAAGGGTGAACACATACATGTCAGATGTGCCGCTCATGTGCTCAATATAATGGTCCAAGCTGGATTGCAAGTCATACCAAATGCAGTTGGAAGGGTAAGAGACATTATCAAGGTTGTCACATCTACACCTTCTCGTATGCAAACATTCAACTCAATCGTTCAGGCATTAGGTCTCAAAGGCAAGTCGGGGCTGATTCTAGATGTTCCCCACCGCTGGAATGCTACGTATGACATGTTGAATGAAGCTCTGAAATATAAAGCAGCTCTCAACAGATTCGCAGCAGAGCAGTATCAGGATGTTCCTAGTGAACTAGACTGGCAGAAAGCTGAATCGCTTCACGAATTCCTAGAACAGTTCAGTGAGGCTACAAAAGCATTTTCTGCGGATAGGCATCCAACGGCCCACCTCTTTCTGAAGATGTTGATGGCAGTTCAAGATGTATTGCTTGATGAGACGTGGAATACCAATGAACTGCTCAATGAGTTGGCTGAAGCTATGTATACCAAGTTTCAGAAATACTGGGCTGCGCCTAGTATGGTACTTCTCATAGCTGCTGTCCTAGACCCATCAATGAAAGCTGATTTTGTCAGGTTCTTTTACTTGACTGTTGAGAATGCAGAAGCGGAAGCTAAGATGAGAGAGCTTAGACAATACTTGAAGAAATATTATCTAGAGTATGAGAGGGTTGTGAGGAACAACACAGGTCCTATCTTCGTTACATATGAAGAGGAAGTTTTAAGTCAGGGAGAATCGAGTTCTTCTGGACTTCGTGGCAAACGGCGTGTAGAGCTTGCATTTGCTCAATTTGCATCACATAACTCGAGTACTCGCTCAGAAAGATCAGAATTGGATATTTATTTGAATGATCCTAGAGTAGTTGTGAGACCGACAGAGAACTTTAATGTTCTAGCATGGTGGAAGAAAAACTCGGATGCCTATCCTATCTTGTCTTTGATGGCCAGAGACTTCTTGTCTATTCCTGTTAGCACAGTGTCCTCAGAATCTGCTTTTAGTGCTGCTGGAAGGATCCTTGGTAAAAATAGGACATCTCTCTCTCCAGAAACACTTGAAGCGTTAGTCTGTGCGAAAGATTGGTTGATTGGCTTTAATGATGCAGAAGAAGGTAATTGTCATATTTCAGATAAATATTGCAAAGTCAATTTTATTTATAATAGTGGTTTAATATGTTTGTCTTGTTCAATGTAGGTCAACCAATGACTGGACAACGTATGTTTGAATCAGACGAAGAAGATGATGATTGACAGGTTAGTGCCCTAGCTGTTGGTTCACTAGGAATGTTGTCATATTCATTGTTTAAAAAACAACTTAATTAGACCCTTTATTTGCATGATTGATGTTTGCTATATGCAATTGATCTTCCTTGTCCACTTAGTTTTTGTGTTACTAATGCTAGTGTCACTGTTACTAATGTTCCATTTATTATTTCGCCAATTTCTAGAATATTGAACTGTGTTTTCTGCTTGAGATAAATTTCATTCATTGTCTTATACAGGACCTCTAAGATGTCAATATGAAGGGAGACCTGTAACTTGTGTATAGATTAGGGCTTAGTTTCTTGTTCCATATTTGTTTGGAGTTAGAACTTAGAAGCAAGGCTTCTCATGGCATCTCTGCAAGAATCCAATTCCCTGTGTTTGAAGCGGAAGCTTGTTGATGACTGCACGTCAAAAGACTACAAATCTCGCCGTGTCAAATCTGAGAATGGGCCCTCATTCGATTCATTTGCTAAATGGAACATCTTTGAGCATAGTTGACACTTGACACAACTCAAGCTGTCATTTTTTAGCATGGTTGACACTTGACACAACACCTGTGGTGTTCTTCTTTGTTTTGCGTTCTTTGCTCGCTATATATTAGTTAGTTTCTTCTTGAATTTAGGATTGCAGCTGGTATTTCGGCAGTTGGAAACTGGTAGCTTTATCTTTGAGCAAGGCTGAGATGTAATGATTCAATACCCTTGTACTGAATGATGAGTCTTAACTGAAGTAAGGTATCACTTTAGTATATTATATTTTATTTGTGAAATGCAGGCAGGCACTAGCGCTATGCACTGCACCTCCGCCTGGGAATGGATCGTGACACTGTACAAGGATTGGGCCCTAATACTGTACAAGGATTGGGCCCGAGGATCTAGATATGAGTGGATTGGAGCAGGGTATAATTTAAAACGAACAGGGCTGGATCGGACTATCCTCCATAAAAAAGGATTTGGATCAGGATCAATTTATTGCTAAAGTATTTAGGATTGGGGTGGGGTTGGGAGTGGATCACGATCCATTCCCAGGCGGACTCGCAACAGCCGGCCAGCCGGTGAAGAAGTAGCGTGTACGGTTGGGCCCCTACTATTTTTTTATGTTATGGTGGGTTCCATATATCGGTCCATATAGACTCCGACACAAATAGTAGCTATAGCTCACTGACATAAAAGCTGACCATATGGACTACCAGGCCGACATGTAACTGCTACTTCCTCAGTCCCTAAGTAACTATTGTTCACTTATGATAAATAACTTTAACTAATTTTATATAAAAAATATTAATACATATGGTACATAACTAATAGCAATTAGATAGATCTTTCCTCCAGTGTGATGGATGAATTATTGAGCGACGCCTCAGTCAGAGCTGAATTAGTCGAGTGGCCGAGCTGAGCGATTGATAACCTGACGACGACATGGATGGTAAGTCTCTCAAGCTGCACCACTCATTTGTTTATTGGAACCATTAAAATAAATTACCCATTTCATCGAGCAGTTTGCTCGGTTGGCAGCGTTCCCCGTGGTGAGAAGCTCCAGGTCGGGAGTTGGACTCCCCACCTTCGCATGCGCAGGTTTACACATTATAAAAAAATCTCGTTGCCTGTCTCATGCTAAAAACACATGTCTAAGGGCCGTCACAGTATCACATGGGCTGCACTGCCGCTATGTATAAGTGGAACAGGATTCGAGGATTTTCTCGATTTGTGTGAAGCACATGTCTAAGAGCTGACACAGTCTCACGTGAGCTACGCTGCCGCATGTATATGTATAAGTGGAGCAACGGTTCGAGGATTTTCTCGATCTGCGTGAAGCACGTGTCTAAAGGCCGGCGCAGTCTCACATGAGTTACGATGCCGCTATGTATAAGTGGAACATGGGTTGGAGGATTTTCTCGATCTACGTGAAGATGACTTTTCTCGATCTGCGTGAGAAGATCACCTTTTATCTTAAGCAGAAAACCGAGGGGTGTCTCCCCCACGGATGATGTTTTTTTATTTATGAAAGTCCTGCCCCTTTTCTTGTCCCTAACTCCCCACCACCGCTCCTATCGGCTCCATGGAGTTCGCGACAGGGGCACCGGGCACTCTGCTTGATGCGTCTGATCTTTCATCATCATGCATGGATGATATAACAAAAAGAAGTGCGGGTATTATTTTTCATTTTTGCCTCGCTTCATTTCGCAGCAGATCTCTCATGTCACTTCATTTTTTTATCCGAATCGCGACTAAAGAAAACGTGGAGACTAAAATTTTTCATAGGCATGCGTCACCAAATCCATAATCACAGTGAAAATTTTATGTCATAATAAAACATTGTGCTATTGTAATCTTTTCGGTGCACGGTGCACATGTTTAAGCTTAACAATATTGAAAAGGCAGCATGATGCCTTATTCTTGTATATGAATTTAGTTTGGAGCTCAGCTTTCATATGCACGTTACTGCGTTGAAACAGGAAGGGACCGGAGCAGTTGATTTTATTTACCGTGACTACTATACGAAGCTCACCGAGGAAAATATGAAAAGTATACCGAAATCTTTTCAAAAATGTAGGTCCTCTTATAGATGGCCAAATGGGTGGCCCATCCTGGACCAACGTTGGACCATTAAGGCATAGCCATATTTGCTCAGCACGTCGTGCCTACCCATGGGCAACGCTTACGGACCAGGCTTGGCCCACCAGGGTATTAGCTGTGCCATGCGAGCGCACTCGGCCTGACGAGCCTGGCAGAATTTGTCATCTGCCTCAGCTCAAAACAAAAAATCTGATAATCTTATCACAAATTTGAAGTGGGAAGGCGCATCGAATTATGATATCTCTCTAACACAGGCGCCGCAGCAAATTTATAGACAAACCAGGCAACAAATCCAAGATCAATCCAGCAGGTGGATGGACCTCACCGTTGTCACCGGGTGTTAGCGAAGCAGATTCTGCATGCCGCAATACAAGTGCTGGACTTGGTCGACGTGATCTCCCGGGCGCAGCGCAACTCGCCGGGTCTCCCGGATAATGCGCCACGCCGCAACGCTCGGCATGCCCAGCGCAACGCACGCTCTACGCAGTCTCACTACGCCAGATTAAAGGATAGATAATTGAACTAACGTTCTCTTGTATACATATATAAATTGTATACTTGAGATCAATGAGAATCTATGGTTGATCATTTTTCCACTTTCATGATATCGGCGACGGATCCTTCCTCAATCCGTTTGCCACAGCTTCCGCATCTACGGCACATTCGCCCTCCCAATCTCTGACTCCTTTGATTCTGATCTGAATGAACCCCGACGGCCAGACCTGCCTCTGTTGCTGTCCTCCAAGTCGTCAACATCTGCTCCCATGTGCCCATCATGCTCGACCTCGACGATGGCAACTACTCTCAGTGGTGTTGCTTCTTCGACTCCGTTCTTGGCAAGTTCGGACGCACGTCCGGTCGCCAATGCCGGTGGTGGAGAGCACCCGCGAGTGGCAACTGACCGACCCATACAGCGTCACAACTAGATCCTCAAAACTGTCTATAGGTTGGTCTTCGACATCGTCCACAAGCGCACCTCACCGCCTTATCCCTGTGGTTTGACGTCGAAGGGTTCTTCCTTGACAAAAAACTACAACGCGTCGTCTATCTTGAGGCCAAGCTACGCAGCATCCATCAAGGCAACATGCCCATCAACAACTACTGCACCAAGCTCAGACGCCTTGCCGATCAGCTTCATGACATTGGCCACCCCATCTGCGAGCCAAGCTAGGTCCTCAACCTGCTCTGGCGCCTCAGCCCGCTCTACCGCCATCTCAAGCCTGTGATCACCGCCAAGTTCCCGCCCCACACCTTCCTGAGCGCCAGATCATACCTGATCTTGGAGGAGCTCACTGAGAAGCACGACACCAAAGTTGAAACTGGGCAGGCGCTCACCAGCGGGCATGGATCTAGCAACAACACAGCCACTAGCGACACATCCCTTGCCGCCGGCTCCACTAATAGCAGCTTCGGGCCGGACGGTTCCCGCAACCGTCCCCAAGAAGAACAAGAGGTGTGGGCGCGCGTCAGGCTTTGCACATGGCAGCAGCGACGGCGGCGAGAATCACCACTAGGCCCCCACGGGAGCCTAGACTGTGGGTTACATCCGGTGGACTAGCTTCGTGCATGCCTGGCCCACACCCTTCTGGCCCCTGGCACCGGCGTACTGGGCCCTCGCCCACCCTTCCAACAGCAGCAGGCCATGATGGCATACCAATCTCCTGCTATTGCTCAAAAAACAACCAAGCTCCTGCTCCTCCTAGCGGCTCAATCGGGTCCTAGGATCCGTCGCCGCTCTACACGACACTGTCCACCACTAGGTGCCCACTCAGCCTCCGAGTGCCGCAGAGTGGTACCGCGACATCGGCGCTACTACTCACATGGCTTCTTCCCCTAGTAACTTCTCTCCCACCCACCTCGCACCTTCTTCTTTTGTGATCACAGTCGGCAATGGTGCCCAATTGCCCGTCTTTCACCAAACATTCAGTTCCATTCCAACGTCCTCTTCTCCCCTCTATTTATGGAATGTTCTTGTTGCTCCTTCTTTGACTAAGAACTTAATTCCTGTCTGACGTCTTACTCGTGATAACAATGTTTCAATCGAATTTGACCCCATTGGTTTCTCAATCATGGATCTTCCAAAGCAGGTGGAGATGCTCCAATGTGAGAGCAGTGGGGATCTTTATCCACTCTTGTTCAAGCCACACCAAGCCCTCATAGCTTCGTCGTCACCATAGGTTTCTTTGTGGCACTAGCACCTTAAAAAGCGTGCACGCCGGCGGAGCAGAGCGAAGCGAACGCGGGCGGCCCCACGGCACCAGCAGCGACGCCAGCGCAGCGCGCATCGCGCCAGTGAGGAGGAGCAGCTGCACGCCCGGGTTGCCGGCCACAGTGGCTAGCCGAGCATGGCCAGACACGCGCGCGCGCGGCCGGCGCGCCGCCGATGGCACAGGAGCGCGGTGACCGCATCAACGCGAGGAACCCGACCCAGAACATGCCATGCACGCTTTTTAAAGTGCCGTGGGGCTTGAATCAACGATTTCGATTTTTAGGACGCTTTAAAAAGCGTGCATGGCATGTTCTGGGTCGGGTTCCTCGCGTTGATGCGGTCGTCGCGCTCCTGTGCCGTCGTCAGCGCGCCGGCAGCCCGGGCGTGCAGCTGATCCTCCTCACTGCCACGATGCGCACTGCGCTGGCGTCGCTGCTGGTGTCGTGGGGCCACCCGTGTTCGCTTCGCTCTGCTCTGCCAGCCGTCGTCGTTGTTGCGCCGCTGCACACACACCGCCTCGCACATGGGTGCCACGACCGCGCCTGTCTCTCTCTCTCTGCTCTGTGGGCGTTGCGTCAGTACGGGATCGCGACCGTTGCCGTTCGCACGCGCGCCTTTCCCCGCTTGGGGTCAGCCGTGCCCTGTCGAAGTGGCATGGAGCTCTTACGCGCGGCACATCGTGCCAAGCCGCTGCCTCGCACTGCGCCGCACGTGGAGTTGTCATCCCCCTCGCCTTGTTCTTGTCTATTAAATGGCTACGCGACGCGTCGTGCTGTCTCATCTCTGCATCTCTCGCGCGCGCACTACTACGGCCGCCTGGGACGACAGGCGGGACCGAGCCGCGCCAGAGCCAAATTCGCAGCACATGGTCATTGTCAGCGCAATTACTCGCGCCAGGTGCTAGTATTGGAGTTCTGCTACCGCCCAGTCATCTCCAGCCTTCAATTGAGCCCGGCCGAGCTCCAATTGGCCGTTTCCCCCTCCGCCGAGGGCAGCCACCCGCCGCACCATCTCTCGCCTATCCACCTTCACCACGAGTTCCACCTAGATCCTTCCTTCACTTCGCGCACCTCAGCCTAGCCGCTATCGGCCCGCCTTGGTCGCTGACGTGACTGTGTCGCCGCAGTGCGCCGCCGCGTCCCACCGTCACACGTGCCCAGCTCGGTTTGGGGAATCCCTGGCCAAACCATCAC